GTATGACTGTGAAAATCTCACGGCACGAACACGGTCGTGACACGGCAAGGCGTACGCCAGACCAATCGAACACCCGGAACACGGCATAAACACGGCGCGGACACGGTCACGACAAGGTCACGGCACTGTCAGACCAATCGCATTGCGCGAAATAAAAAAGGCCAATTAAAATTCTAAAAACTCACGGTTAAGGTACTGCACGCTTACGACACTGCGCTTTTCACAGTCATACAAAAACTCCTATGTGAAAGTGCCGTATGATGCTGAGATCGATACCGTACTGTGATCGGAAACGTATCTTATTGTGCTCGTATCTATGATTATGTCACGTGATAGTGCCGTACCGTGCCGTGCTACACGTGATTTTTCCGCATTCCGATTGGATAGAAAGTCATTTTGGGTGCAGTGATTGGATTCCAGGAAATCTTCGGCTATCTAACGTGATTGTATGTCAAGTTCTTAACATAAATAACAAAGGAAACTCATAATGAACACACACACTCAACTTACCTGTCTGTTCAGTCTATAATCAGCCACAAGATGAATATACAATATTCTGTTGCTGTCGGTAACGGGTATGTCTTTTCCATTTGGAAGTAGCTCCACAACCTAGAATCAGGAACACAGTTGATCGGGTTTCATATGGTATGGGTTTTATATGTGAGAGAGGAAAAAAAAAGTTTGGGATAGAAGCTTTGCACCGTMACGTGATGGCAGCCATGACAGGAGGCAGGAACAATTGATTCTGGTTTAATCTGATTTACATGAGAAAGAATTCAGAAGAGAAGAAGTTTCCCGGGGAAGGGGGGGGGAACTCTATTGTTATGCCCCCTGTCATGGCTGCCATCACGTGATGGTGCAAGTCTCTATAGCCAGCATTTTAGTTTACCTGTGTTTCTCCAAAATCATTATTGACAATCGTAAAATTTAACGCCAGCTCCTCGACATTTCCTTCGTAGGTTTTYAAGAATAACAAATTTCTGCAAAGAGAACAGAGCATGCGCATGTTACGTCATAACCACCATCTCAGTAGGGCAACGTCGCAGCTCTAAGAAAATCTTACTCCTTTTCACACTGCTTTTGTTCTTTAATTATTACTATTGTTCCTGTATTCTCTAAGGAATCAAAAATTTTAATATGAAAGAATTTTAAAAACTATTATGGTATAGAGTCGGGGGTAAAAAGTCATCTCGCTTCAGGCTTATTGGACGGAATACAATAGAAGGAGAAACAATGTGTGCTTTCCATTTTCCCGAAAAAATACGCAAATTTCGGTTGGAAAACAAATGGCATGTATCATTCCCATGCCATCGAAAAAGTTCTCAGTCTTCCGATAGGTAATCCACTTTTCCCGCTCTTTTCGGTCCTTTCGGTAGACGCGTGTACCATTTTTCTAAAGTCAAAGTTTCCCGCTCTTTTCTTACCATTAGCGAATGAATTGCCAAACGGTTTAAATTCTTGGTTTGAATGCTAAAAACCCCAAATAAACAATACAACAGAACTAATCGACAATGAAAACAATTGTTTGTTTGGCCAATCTCGACAGCTCTTCTTAGTGAGTGCGACATTACTGCAATTTTATAAACATGCGAACTCTGTGTCTGCGTGCTGCACGCTGAAAATTGTTTTTCGCTGCCGCCAGTCAAAAATATGAAAGGTACCGACTGATTAGGTTTGGTTGACGATAACAATGCATTCCTCATTAGCTCCTCTTGCTAGATCAACCAACATGGGGGCTTGTTTCGTTGTTATTCATATCTCAAGGGATTTTGAGTCACATGGTTGCACACAATGTATACAGGAGAGTGCCATGAGCTTTTTTACAAAACTGCTATGGCGTTGATCTGGAGCAAGGCGCTTTTTCTTTCATGAGCAATGCCCAGTTTTTTTTAACATGGTCAAATGTTATAAACTACTTACTTGTAGACTTCAGGATCAAGAGATTCCAGGTTATGGATATCGACATCTGTGCCGTGCCGGCCTAACAGCTTACATAAGAAGAAGCTCGCAAAAGGTAAYTCGACTAACATGTTCTCGTAGATTGCCTACACATTTGAAAGAATTCACATAATTTAACATTCATGCAGTCCTTCACAGAGAATAAAAGGACGCCAGACGTGGCCGACATATTTTTTGATTTGACAAAAGAAACTTCAACCATATCTTTCGTGGATGCCAAAGAGAATCAAGCAAGGTGTAGCGGTTGTATATTCRCCTACCACCTCTGTATGGAGTTTCAGATTCGACTCGTGGACGGCTTGGCATCACACGTAAGTAAAGATCCTTAGGTTAACCCCTTGATTCGGAGTTTGTTTTGTTTTGTTTTGTTTTTCCCGGGTTCTCCGGTTTTCCTCGTACGCTGACCATGTTTTCAAACACCCCAGAGGTTGTTTCAGGGTATCACTCAAATTTAAAGGTTTAATGTCAACCAAGTAGAACGCCCTTTTAATGTTGTGCAATTTCAGACCAATTGTCATTATTCATTATGTCGAGAATAAGAATCTGTTTGAGTTGTATCCATATTCGTGTCTTCTCATGCGCAACCGTTAAACGAAAACTAATACTCTAGGGAATGACACGAGGTCTGAAATGGGAAAACATTACACCCCAAGATGAAGTGGTCTATTGTCGGTTATGATGCGCATGCGTAGAAGGGGCAGTGTATTGGAGGTTTTGCACCACCACGTGACGGCAGCCATGTTAGATGGCAGGAACAATACAATCGTTTTACATGAGAAAGAATTATACTCCCAAGAGCAAAGGTATTTTATTGATCTGCCATCTAACCCAGGAAGCCCAAGCTGTATTATTGGCATGGGCAAGTGATKGTGCAAAACCTCTAGTCATTCCGAAGTTAATTAAGGGGAAAACTGGATCGAGTTTGCATTGCATTGCAGTGCATCGTGATGTGTGTTTTGTGTGTGTGTGTGTGTGTGTTTTTTTTTTTTGAGAGACATATTTCCAACATGGCGTCTATATTGTCCACTAAAACAGCCCCACAATGCACTGCAATACCAACTCGACCCAGTTTTTTTCCTCGACCTCGGAATGTTTAATTAATAAGAGCAATGGTAGRAACAATGGCCTTACCTTGCCTAGCATTCTCCCGAGGAATCGAAAATGTTGAAGATAGTTGGGAGCGCATAATTTGGCCTGGAAACCAATAGAAACTGAATGTTATGAAGGGGAATGAGATGTGGAATGGAAACCATGGAAAGGGAAAAGAGAGAAGGGAACAAAACGAAAGGAAAAGAAAAGGAGAGGAGAGGAGAGGAGAGGAGACGAGACGAGAGGAAAGGAAACAAAACAAAATAAAACAAAACAAAAAAAACGTAGCAAAAGGAAAGGAAAGGAAAGAAAACGAAAGCAAAGCAAAGCAAGTTAAATTAAAGGAAACTAAACGAATTGAAAGCAAAGACAACGAAAGAAAAGCAAAGCAAGTTAAATTAAAGGAAACTAAACGAATTGAAAGCAAAGCAAAGGAAAATGAAAGGAAACAAAATGGCGAGCACTTTACCTGAGGATTAGGATACAGAAGTCTTTCATTTGTTGCTTTGAAGTAACCAATATTCGGATCGAACCCTGCTTTCAGAAGCTCATTCAGAAACTCCCTATAAAGAACCAAGCCTACGTTT